GTCTCTTTGGATCAAAGCATCTGGTAAATAAATACAATTTAACTGGACCAAAATATACAAGGGTGCTATTTAAGTTTGAGCACAATATTGCAAGGTTTCCATATATAACAGATCACAATGCACATAAAGAAAATCACCCTCAGTGATGGGACCTTTTCCATGTGGACACTCAAACCTGTGTGAAAAAAACAGGGCGTGGTTTCCTGCTGAACGTGGGCACAAGGACGGCAGCTGCAGCTGAAAGAAATGATTCGATCACGCAATTAGGCATCAGGCTATGTCCCAGGCTGAGCTATAGGTCATTATTTCCCCCGGAAGCATTACTGGAGACTGAGAGGTTGAGTCTGAAGCTCAATGACAAGTGTAGAAAGCAGGTTAAATTCCAGGGGCATATACAGGGCAACAGGGGCACTGGCCTCTGCTGAATTTTGATTGGCCCCCGCAGTGTCCACTACCCTGTCACATGATAAAGTTGGCCCCTCTGCATGAATTATGGTCCCTCTTATGCCCCCCACCTTAATAAAATCCTAGAACGCCCCTATAAGTCAGGCCCGCCTCTCTAGCTGTCTTGATACGCAGGGCTGTAGTGAAACAGATCATCCAAGAGACGTCTTACTTACCGGGAAAACCCCGACAGCCTAATTATTCTTCCTTAATAACGTTCCACCCTTTGAAAGCGTAAGATTTTCGTCAGAGCTTTTCTCCCCCAAGGTACGCAATGCTGATCCATCTGCACCCCACCCCCCACCAGGGTAATCACGTAAGCGGTACAGCCATTCAGTCCGTGCAGAGTAACCATTTGTGACATTAATGGCAAGATCGTCGTGTGTATCACTGCGCTATTTACTACCACTAGTCATTATTATGGAAACACGCGGGAGGACGGCCTGCATCGTTCAGGCTCACGGTCCGAAGAGGCCCCCACTGTGCCCCCTGTGGCAGAGACTGGCAAATGCAGTATCAGTTTGGAAGGCGATTTTAGCGGGGTTCTCCAAGGAACCCCTCGTCTGAAGTATATGTGAGTTAAGGTGTCTGCAGTCCACTGTCATTCATGATGGCATGCACTGCCACCTTCATGGAGCTGTTACCCATGATGCTCCACTGTACAGCACAAATTACCTCACATCAGGGAACCATGGACACAGAAAGGGAGACAAGGCATGTCAGCTTTGGATGCCAGACTACAGCATCTAACCTTGGTTTCTAGGCCGAACACAGGCAGATGGATTCTGTTTACAAGCATTTTAAAGCATTTGCTTTAGTGGTTAAAGTACGTCTGGCTTCCCACAGGGATACTTCTTTAGCACGCCTAGGAAATCGCTTCATTAGAGTCCTGCTACAAAAAATTAAACCACAAGCTGCCTCTGAAAATCACACTGCTAAGCAAACAAATGATGAAATAATTGCTGTGAGACACCTTCACAACAGTGGATAGCACAGCGATTAAAGATACTAACTCGCAACCCGAAGGTAGCTAGGTTTAATCCAACGGAGGACTCATGTGTTGGACCCTTGAAACAGCCAGAACTATGCTGGAATTTTTTTTTGTAAGATTCTTTGCATGAAAGCATCATCAATTCATCTGTAATGTGAATGCAAATTATAGCTGATCCCCTATTGGGAAAGAGGCTGAGGCCACCAGCATTAGTCCGGCTGTTGGATTATAGGGTAGAAAATGCCCTCCATTGTGCTGCAGTGAACCCCATGGCATAATGGCATGTTTGCCTTCCTTTTTGCTTAATTATCCCCCTCTCATGTTTGCATGGTCTGCCCTGTCTCTGGCCGTAAACCTCAAATCGCATTAATACAGTCGAAGTCCAGATTGCAGCCTGAAAGTCCGCTTGCAGTTCTGCTGCGATCATTTCTCAGGTTTATCATGCTCCTCTGCATGCGCTCCCCAAAGATATGCCTGGAGAAGAAGAATTTAATGCAACATCATTTCCCTTCGACAGAGTGATCAAATTAGAGCTTGGAAAACTCTGCAAACAACGAAAGTACTCTCCTCTGAATTATATTTGAAACTAATTAGATTTAATCCAGCACAGACGACCTGAAAACGGTTGTTTGCCTAGTTTGTGATATGCTTTTGGGAATATGTCAATGCAGGTTATTTTTGATGAAAGAACTCATTGTTTGGTAAATACAAATAAAAGTTAAGAAAGAGTACCTCAGCTGTTGAAATGGCAGTGTTTTCCATCTGGTCTATCTTTATCGTGCAAGCCAAGACCCCCACTGAAAATTATCTGAGAGTTTTGCAGTGGATGAAACAGGAAGTGGGAGGCGTTTTGGGTCAAGCAAAGTCCATCCAGCTCAGAACGGTCATACAGGAGTATCATGTAGCTTCACATGTCTCAGGATACCAAGGGAGGAAGCAGCCTTGAAGAATCAGCAACTCCGACATTGCTGGCTTCTCAAAAGACCAGCGGGTCATTTTAGCGGGTCACTGTGTTTTAATGGCATCCAGTAAGATCTTACATTGTGATATTTTTAGATTTATGCTTCTCATTGAACTGCCAGAACCAAACCACAGACACATATGGTGCTTTTCCACTGGCATACAGGAACCGACCCGTACCCGAGCCTTGCCGCAAAGAGAAACTATAGTTACAGCATGGTTCCAGCTTGCTTTGGTTTTACACTGCATAAGGGTTGGCTCAGTAAAGGCGTTGCTGGGTTTGGAAAATGACACTGACGTCAAAAAAAGAAGAGAGACTTATTTACCGTTCACACAGTGTGCATCATGGATGTTTATCAATATGCATATGTGACCGTAGTTTTGTTTTCGTGTATCCGATTTACATCATCTTCCATTACTGAAGACTAGTTCCGATACTCAAGAACAGAAGTACAAAGGACGGTAAAAATCCCCAGATGTCACAGGGTCCACCCCACTCCAAATATCAAGGATAATTCTATCCGTTGTATCCTCACCGAACGAGACCAATCGCATTATTCATTGCGCCCCAAGTTCGAAAAACACCCCATGATTCGAGAAATACTCTAGGATTTACCAAGTGCAATTATTATTATTTTTTTACTGTGTGCTATTTTCCGCTATTGAGAATCATTGTGTTATGCAAGTATGAAACGCTAGTGGAATTCACATTTGCTTGTGTGAATTTACTTTAGGAATCCATTGTGTTCAGCTGTTCTATAGTACTTTTTTAAGTAGGAGGTTTGAAATTTTCAAGTTCCAAGTTTTCTGGAATGCATCGCATTGTGCAGTACTACTAATAATGAAGAACATATAGAATGTACAAGGGGCGACATGGTGGTTAGCAGTGCTGCCTCACATCCCCTGGGACCAGGGTTCAAGTTTCTGCCTAGGCTACATGTGTGTGGAGTTTACATGTTCTCCCCATGTCATGTGAGTGTGCCCTGCGATGGGCTGGCCTCACATCCTGGGTTGTACCCCACCTTGTGCTTGTAGCTTCCATGATAGGCTCTGGACCTATTTTAGGACAACATTTTAGGTTTAGTTCTATGGCACTGATGGAAGTTAGTTAAAAGTAAGGTACACAATAGATTGATTTAGCAGATGCTTTCGCCCACAGCAATGTACAATTCAGAAAGCAGGGTCAGACAGTCTTTGGAACAATTGTGATAAAGGGCCGTGTTCAAGGGCGCAACGATAAAATCAAGCCATTCAGCAGGGGAGTTGAACCAGGAACCTTTACAGTTGAGGCAGAGCACTAACCCACTGAGCCACACACAACCCTTGAACAATATGTGCACCTGGGGAAGTCTCTAAGAAGAAATTCAGGTGAAGTACTTTGCTGATGTACACAAAAGCAGCTGCTGAATCAGCAGCCTTCGCTACGTAACTCTATTTGTAAACTAGGGTGCCCCTATGTCCCATTTATAAACCATCAAAGTGTGAGCTGCTGCTTCACTGTCAGCAGTGAAATGCACATGCATAATTCCTGTATATTATGTATGTGCTGTCTTTACATTCGGCTGCTAAACTGATAAAAACAAAACAGTTGTGGCATCATCTTCTCATTAGAATATTAGCAAAACAACCAGGCATGTTTTTGAGTCGACTCTAGCAGAAATGGTCAGGATGCAGATGAACACTGAACCCAGGAAACACCGCTGATCTGCTTAGGGGATTTCACTGGAGGAGAGGCTTGTATTATCACCAATGGATTGCTCAGGGATATGAGATGATTGTAGCTCAGGGCCAACCAAAGCTTTTCACTGAGTTTTTGTCTTAATTCCAGAACATTTGGGACATAATCATTTAATGAGGGCGTCTTCATGGACTGAATGAAAGGACTGGGAACGTTACCAACATCGCTGAGTCAGACTCTCAATACCAAAGCCTTCCAGTCGCACAACAGGAATTTTACTCTCATGACATGAATTTCAATAACCTTTTAAATGCATACCTGATCCACTTAGGCTGATTATTGATGTCTGACGAGAGAATAACTTGGAAGGACACGGTGCTCTACACATCCTGACAGTTACAGCACGTCTGAGGTACTCTGAAGCATCAACAGAAACCCCCAAGAGCCACCCCCACCCCCTTCCTCCCCAAGTCTTTACTGAATTTGCCTTCTGGGACAAATTGTACCTAAATGTTTGCATGTGACACACCTTACCCGTGTTCCCTGTTTTCCATCTTAAGCAGTTCTCTTCACAGCTGTGGCTGAGCTTCAAAATAACATGTTTATTTACCAGCCTATAGCCACACAGCACTGGACCCAAACCTTTAAGCTATACAAGTCTCAAAAAACCTTCAAAATTAGGGCAAATGAAAGTGGGCTAGCTGTTCATTAACGTTAGCATATGACCAGAATAAGTCCACTGCCACTTTAAATGAGTTTCAGCTATTTCCATTTATATTTTTCTTCTATAGTTTTGACTACAGGAGACCATTTGTATAAGTACATGATGTATTTAATTCATTGCATTGCAGTATCATAGCCCTCAAGCTTCTTTAAACCCATAAGAGGTTAATTATGTTTGAGAAAAAACAAAGATACCATACCACAAACATTTTTTCTGGATTTATTTCAAAGGGGAAAAATAGATACTTCAATAAATACTGCTAAAACATCAATGGAACAGACATACAAACAGACATTCAGAAAACGATGAGGCTCTACAGTTTTAACACACTTCCATAACTTAAAATTTCGTTCATTCGTGTTTTTTCGTTTTTAACATTGAAATTGAAAGCATAGCCAGCTAGCTGATAATACTGCCCCCTGAGGATAATCGGGGCATCACGGTGAAAGCAGTCCAGGAACAGGCCCAATTAGCAGAAAGGCAGCTCGCTGCATCAGGTGAAGCCTCATTTTGATGAAAGTGCGACCGGCGGCTTGTAACACAGACAAAAGCACATCCAAATGCTCACCCGGCAGAGGAGCCTCTTTAACGGAGTAAAAAAACTCAGTCTCCGTTTTCTCGATCCCTCACAAAAGCCTGTAAAAACCTGCACAGGAGTGTGTTCCAGCGGTAAGTGGTGTGTTTCCGATGACCCAACGTGGATCTGAAGAAAACTATATGCATTGCATAGTCAAAGACCCCCCCGTATAGGGAAAACAAGGGTACAGCGGGACAGGAATTTGTCTGAGGTTGTCTCGTGGATGATGAGGAGGTGGCAAGGAGGGAGGATGAGAAAGGGTGCCCTCTGATTGGCTGATGCATGTTTCCACACGCACACATCACACTCAGGCACTGGCATGGAGGCCGACCGCAGGCTAGGGCGAGCCCACGAAACACACCGGCGTATCCTACAATACCCTGTTGCCATGGTGACACGTCAAGGCTTGGCTGAACGCTGGTCAAGAGCGTAATTAAATTAAGAAGCGTGCGGAAGCTTCCGGGGGAATTCGACACAGATCTTTGGTTGGAAAACAAAAAAAAAAATTGGTTTGGAGCGTAATGTTCTCTGAGTTGTGAATGTGAGCGGCACAGGTTTTCACACCTGGAGTGATGTCGCGGTGCGGCATGCAGAGAGAGGTTCCTCATTCCACTCGACGGACTGGGGATGGCATTGAGGAAGAACTAAAATCCTGAAGAGCTGATTCTAAACCACAGTGATTCACGTAGTCCTTCATTGTCCACCTCTGTCATAAGTGCAAGGAAGGCGCTTGCCTCTCCTGTGTGAGAGTGAGGGGGTTCTCCCCCACCCCTGAGGAGAATGGCCCTCCAAAGGAATCCCAGTTTTCACATCTTTCATCATAGGAAGGGATCTGACGACTCCCATTTACCTCCTGCAGGCGATAAGAATAGGGTTTGACCCCCTCCCCCCCCCCGAGAGGTCACAGAAGGTCACCAGCAGGGTCTGGGAAGGGGTTAGAGAAGTGGACCCAATAGTTTCCTTTTGGGGGTATGTTCAAAAGCTGGGGGGCAGACATGGGCGGGGCATCTCGGATGCACCAATCAGCTTTCGCCGAAGTCTCTCCTGTGGGCATCCACTCAGGGTCGTTCATTTGGCACCTTATGTTCCAGCTTACGTCAGACCAACAACCGAGGGGGTGGGACTGGGGGTGGACAGTGGATGCTTTAAAGTGCAGAAACAGCCACCTGCCATCTCTCAAGTTTGCTTGATGGTCAGTTGGATCGAGGTGGCCCCAGTGGGGGGGCCGGGTTGACGTCCTAGCACCCTGCTCTGCCTTCGCCACGGTAACCCAGTTGTTCCCAATGCATCACATGACCACGCAGCTCTTGGCTTTGTCCTTACGGAGGTCTGTGGGCACAGTACCGAGCTCCGCCCGCCCAGGCATATGCGAGATGCGCTTGGTGCTGCGAGTTGTCTTGCTGCGTTTCACATGCTTGTTGTTCTTGTTGACGCTCGCCAGCGTGGCCATGTGGAAGATGTCCCGCACGCTGTTCTCCGACTGCAGTGCCGAGCACTCGATGTAGGGGGCGCCCATCTGCTTGGCCATGTTGGAGCCCTGGAAGACAGCAGTAGAGTCAGTCCACAGACAAGCAGCCAAAGTGTTCAGGCTCACATCCCGGCAGCAGAAGGATCTTAACCACACCCAGCTAATTAACCCCTGGCCCTGCCTCAGCTACTTTGCATGTAATCATCCACTAAGCAGCCAGCAATATCACCACACAAAATTTACATCACACATGTCGTCTCTATGTCTGTCTCTCATCGAATTTATGACCTAAAAACTTGTAGACATGAGAGACTACTCTTCAGGCACTGTAATGGACAGCTCTGGTACAAGCTGAGAGCTGGACTTAGACCTCACCTATAGAAGAGCAACATGCAGAAACCAGCCTACACGTGATTTAGGCACATCATTTAAAATAGCCTAAGGCAGTGCGAGAAGGGCAGCTGCTGATAATTTATGCGAAGAAGGTTAAGCCTAAGATGTCATCAATCAAAGGGCCGAAGGAAGGACTCTCTGGTCAGAATCCTTTAGTATTCAGATTCAACAGCTCAGAAGTTGGGATATTAAAAATGGGAAAGGGGGATAGGAGCTGCTTTTACATTTAGACATGTCTGTGTGTCAGCAGCTGTGTTCAGCCACACAGACTCGTCCAGTGAGGAATGACACTCACCTGATCATATGACACGGGGGTCTGCCTGTGATTGGACAGTTCCACCAGCGTGGTCAGATCGGTGCGCAGGTCGGATTTGCAGCCCACCAGCAGAATCTTGGTGTTGGGACAGAACTCCTGGATCTCACCCTTCCACTGCGGGAGTCAGGGAGATGAACGTTAGAAGAGGCAGCTTGGAGGAAAGTCCAGACTGAGAGTATTCCCAGGGGCATTCCCGCATTTCAAACGCAAAAGGCCAGGGTGATCTAACCGCTGGCGGAGGAAGACTGGATGATGATAAGGTTAAAGGTCAAAGGTTGGCCGAGACAGCAGTGCATGCTGGCAAAGCTGTGACCATTACGACCTTTTCAATTACCTCACTTACTGGTTAAGCTGTTTTGTCATGGTTGAAAAGGAGTCCAAAGCCCCCCACCCCTTCCTGCTTCATATAACTCCCCCCATGGGTTGTCCAAAGTCACTTGACCTGCTGCAGGTCAAGTGACTTCTTAAAATATACATGAAACAAGCTGAATTTTTCACTTCCTCCACCTTAAAGCCCCTAACCACCCGTCGTTCTTCCTGCCCACCTTCTTCTGCACGCTGTCAAGCGTCTCCGGCCGGCTGATGTCGAAGCAGATGAGGACGGCATCTGAGTCCGGGTACGAAAGTGGCCGCACGTTGTCGTAATACGGAGACCCTGTAAAACATGAAGCCGGGGGTGGGGGGCGGATCAGCAAGGGGTATGAAAGGGACACCTAAGGCCTGCAGTGACATTCAGAAAAGTTCAGCAGGGTCACTGGGGACCGGCATGCCACACTCACTGAACCTGGATGGTACTTTTATACTGGATTACGAATCATGATTACTAATCATTTAACCCATTTGTACAGCTGGATTCCCATTAAGGGGTTAGGGAGCCTGAATCTGTGGCCTTAACCATTGCTGGAGCAGGGGTCATAGCATTAGGCATTAATTAGCCACTTCCGCATCAGTGCGAGTCATCTCAGCCGTCTGACCCCCTCGGCCTGTCCCCTGAGGAAGATTTGAGCCTTATTTGCATCCAGCAATGGAATGGATCTTACCCCCCCGCCCCCTCCAGCCGAAGAGTTGGGCCAGACAGCCCCAGCAATTACTCAAGCCGTTCAGAGACCTCTTAGTCTCCCAGAAAGCACACGATCGGTCACACCGTCAGCAGCTCCGCCAAAAAGAGGTAGATTAATTTATCTCAGCCATGGAGAGAGCTGTTTCCCCTTTAAAAAATAATTTATAAAGATTTACTTTTTGAGTTGCGTTGAAAGCCCACGGAGTGTAAAGATCAGCCATGTCAGTGACAGTGGCAGCAGACTGGCCTGTTAAGCACAAACTAAAACAACCAAAACGATTGTTGATCTTTTGGGCTGATTGGGCAAAATCCCCACAGTAAGAAAAGAATCTAAAAAATCTGTTTTATAAAATGTTTTATCTGCTTTCCAACGATGGGTGGAAAACTGTGAGGGTGCCTAAAGCAACAGAGCATGGCGGGGGTGTCACATCGAGTTAAGGTGACTCCCCCAGCCAGCGTCGCTGGGGAATCTGAACTACCCACAAATAAAGCAACACGGCCTTCAGGAATCCGGGGAATTCTGTTTGTTCAAGTATAAAAGTCCTCTGGGCGGGGACTCCTGCGAGCCCAGATTTACACCATACGCGCGAGCAGTCGCTGACCCCAACCACCCGTCCCCCCCCCCTTCATCCTCCACCCCCCGTGCCCTGTCTGTGCACAGTTAATCTAAACGGTCTGGAGGGGAGGTTTGCTGTAAGTTGTATATATCTGTGGTGGCCTGAGTTTCATCAAACAGCTCCCTCCATACCACACAGAGAGCTGGGAAACCACAGAGCAGAAACCACCGCGAATATCTCACCCCCCAGACTCAGCTTCCAGTGCTGTGAGCAAACAAGAGGATGAGAAATATGTATGTGGGAGTGAATGATTTCCCATAAGAGGGTGCTGACATCATCAGTTTGCGATGATCCCATGTGACGGCCCGGTGTCCGAGAAAAATTCCCCAGAGACAGTGAGAGCGGGGCAATCCCAACTCCTTCCACCAGTACGGGTCCACAAAAACCAGTAAAGACCACTTCATCTTTTGCAGAAAAATCCAGAGGAATTACAATTAAACATTTTCATGTCTGAGTAGTGTTTTGCTTGTTAAATACATACTAGAAATACTAAAAAAGACATCCCTGTATTCCAGTTTAACAGTGTTAACTCTGTGCCAATCCGATGCCTGGTGAAGTTCTGACCATGGCACATGCCGGTGTTTAGCTAAAGTTTAGTTAACTGTATGTTTGTGTGGATTAGGTTTATATTATGTTATGGGGACCAAATGTCCACCACAATGTAATAAAAACCTGTTTTTTGGAGTTGTGGGCACCATTTTTCAGGTCCCCACAAAGATCTGTGAATGAAAAAAAAAGGAAAAATGCCAAAAGTCTTGTTATTTTGTTTGGTTATTTGTGGTTAATGTTAGGGTTGGGTAGGGGGTTAAGGTTGTCATGTTTTCCCCATAGAAATAAAAGTGTATATGTGTGTGTGTGTATGTATGTGTGTGTGTGCGTGTGTGTGTGTGTGTGTCTATGTGTGCGTATGTGTGTGTATATATATGTGTGTGTGCGTGTGTGTGTGTGTGTGTCTATGTGTGCGTATGTGTGTGTATATATATGTGTGTGTGCGTGTTTTGCACCAAGGGTTTCATGCTTCTATATGACATTTTAACCTCAGCCTCTAAAGAGGAAGGCCGTCTGCTTGATATTGATGGGTCACACGTGGTTAAAAAAAGTTTGTTCTGATGATGCACAGAACCAGAAAGATACACAGACTGACGCAGACAGACACACAAAACAAAAATACACAGACAGACAAAGACAAACAGCTGATTCTCCATTCACTGCTAGCTAAGCATGATGCCTGTCAAACCAGAAAAGGTCTTTTACTCGTTTTCACTTTTACTTCATTTCTGACACATGACTCCCCCCCCCCCAATCTCAGGGCAAAACAAAGTGTGCCTATAAACTTTTTTTTCAAGTTCACCTTTAAACAAGAGGAGCAAAGGACAACAGGGCCTGGAACCAATGGCTTACTGGTTAAGATCCAATCATTCACCAGTCACCACCAGTACACTGTGGCCCATAACCAGTACAAGCAGAACTAAACCATCTAGGGGCTGGAAACACCAGCTCCCAGAGCAGAGGTCAGACCGCTTCCATCCAAGATGGATGGATGGATGGATCATTTGTTTCTGCACTGTTATAACAGCTCTCCAATAAATCATAACTGACTGTGAGTTGGCCAGGGAATCTCGCTCCCCTTCTCAGATGTGTCTGTAGCTGAAACAGGGCCCCAGCTAAATGCATTACAGCTCCGGGTACTTTAAACAGCTTAAACCTGCGGGGGGTTCACCGCCTGCAAAACGCTGACAGCCCCCACATTCCACAGGCAGCCCGGCCCTCCCTTCTTCCCGCTTCCACACCTGAGAATATTTTCGCCCCATTATCTGCATTAAAGGCACGGTGACGGCCGATTCCTTAGGAATCAGCCAGTTTCAGGCAGGCGGGTCTTCTCTGTCAGAGCCCACAGACGCTCCTTTGTGCTGCAAAAACCCAGCCCTCCGCCTGAGGAATGTGCAGCATGCTGCTTCAATTTTCCCAGCGCAGACGGGCAAGCCCCACGCTCCCTACACTCCCGGATTAACCGAGACCGCCCCCTACGACTGTCAGTCTAAGCGGAGAACGTGATGCACGCCATTTGAACAGATAAATTCAATTCCATTTATTTTTATATAGTGCCTTTCACAACACAGCTGCACCAAGGCACTTGAGAGTGTGTGACAGTACAATACTGCATCATGCATACAAAATGGTTCATGAAACAGGGAGAAAAGAAAAAAAGAAAGAACGAAAGAAAGAATGCCAGAAGACAACGGAGGAGAGGAACCCAAAACTCACGACTAAGGAGAAAAAAAACCTCTGGGTGTTCAAGATCGACTGGCTGCCCAACCCCCCTCCCTCAGAGAATAAAAGCAGAATGACCCTGTTTAAAAAAGCAGGGTGCAAACTGTGGTCATGGTTAAAGTTTATCAGCCAGCCGGTTCTCCAAGCTTAAACTTGGTTAAATCAGGATAGTGATGGGAAAAGGGAGTTTTGAGAGGTTACAATGGTTTGGGACTGCTGTGCCCAGTTAAAAGTTTGAGCTCTCCCATTAGAAAACCAGACTGGGGAGACTGGAAAGAAGACTTTCCCTCCTCTCACCAAAGACTGGCTCCGCGTGCGTCCTCCTCTGCCAGGGACCCTCTGGAGGGATCGACCCGGGTGCTAATACCTTTCCAGCTCTTTCCAAATCAGTTTTTTGATTATGGCCTGACTGACAGCTGGGCCTCATTAACTGCTGCACAGATAAATGGAAGGAGAATGGGTGGCCTAGCACTTAAGGTGGGGGAGGGGGGGACACACACCCTGGGCAGGGGGGAGCATATATATCGATGGGGACTGTGTGTTTGATGAAGGGCCTTCAAAGGGGGGCTGGTCCTACAGCCCCAAGCTTCCGGGTATTGCTCTGGTGATTATAATTTTAAGTGCTGGGGCAGGCAGACAGAAAAAGGGTGGTTCAGTTGTTATCTGAGGAAGGGGAACACCTGAAAGCCCCCTCCCCCCCCCCCCAGGCCATTCTTTATAGATGTAGGGCAATGGGCTTTCAGGGGGCGCACTCCTCACAAATACTTTGCTGAGGAATATTCCGGAATATCCAGAGACAAGGCAACCGAGGCAGGATTTTGAGCAGCGTGTGATGTACTCGCTACGGGCGTGGCGTCCCAGACCATTGGCTGCCCCCCACCACCACGTCCTGCTCCAGTGAAGCCCCTCAGCAGTGCGGGCAGGTGGGCCACGCGCAGAGTCGCCAGGGTAACCTTACTCGTGCTTTTCAATACAAGCAGTGCCGGGGGAAACGCACCCCCCCCCTCCAAACCTGAGAGCTTATTGGGGGGGAGGGGTCCTCTAAGCTCAGGGTTTTCTCTAGCTATTGTATTCCACATAAGCACCCCCCCAACCCCAAACCCAGGCTCATGAGTTTCCCAAGCACCAAAGTCTTCTGGCAAAGCGAAACTCCTCGTCAGAGGAATTCCTGGGTCGGGGGGGTCACCATCCACCTCTAGCCCCAAGCTAATGCTTGATGTGCCGCTGCTGCCCCCCCCCCCCAAGCCTCCGAAAAAGCTGCCCGGCCCATCCTTCTGCCAAGGGACAGTGATGGATTGGTCTAGCGAGGCGCTGCTAGGTCCACAAAAGCCCACCTTATGTGTCAGAGAGGCTCCGCCACAGCTGTAAATCACGGGGGAAACCTGTTAACGTCACACAATTGCTTGGTCCTACATAATGGCACAGTGCATCAGACTGTGTGAGACATGTATTTACCACAAATGTGTGTGTTTACTCAGAATGTAAGTGCGGGGATCCTACTCAAGCCTCAGTAAAACTCTCGTCACCCTCAGTCAGAAATCACCTGTTACAAGTTACAAAAACTAAGGGTTCTGTGTGTGTGTGTGTGTGTGTAACAGGTACTGTATGTATATGACCTTGTACTTCATACCAAGGCTTTTACTATATAGGTATTTATTTGCTCACGACCTATTAATGGCTCCGAGCACACATTCCAAATGTATGAAAACATTCCAACGCCACCAAAAATCGTTACTGGTATACTGGGAAGTCACATTACGGATTTGGGACGGGAAATAATTTGGCGTCAATTCCCAGCATCGTCTTGAATAGGGGCTATGTGATTAAGGTTGTCCTGCTGTTGGTCTTCAAGCGCTATATCCCCCGTCCTACTTGGATCACCCCATTCCACGCATACCGAGGCGCGTCACTCGTCCCAAGAGACGCGCCGGAGCTTCGGACAAGCCGGGGCAGGTCTGACACACGCCGACTCTCGACCGAGAGCAGGGTTTAACAAGCGTTTAGTGACACAGGATATATCCACCCTGCCCCAACATAAGGAACAAGCACCCCGTAGCGTCGTAGGAAATATCCACCCTGTTCCGACCTAGGGGATATCCCGACGTATGGAATAGCCTATCCACCCTGTCCCGTTTAAAGACGGGTGTGTGTGTGTGTGTGTGTGTGTGTGTGTGTGTGTGAGATGGGGGGGGTGCTAACGGACGGCAAATGCTGTATCATGCCGTATTTAGCCTACAAAGGATGACCGAAGCCAGTCATGGGAAGACCCACACACAGAAAACACCAAATAAGATCTGGGTATAGGCTACATCATAGAGTCACAGGAAGCGATCCCCTGTCGGCTCTTCTCATCACCATAAAAAGCGATACGGTCGCCGCAAGTGCGGTTCAGATCCCAAACATTTCCCATAAATGCAAATACTCTATGAACAAAAAACCTGAGCCCCTACAAACATACGAATTCTCATCCAGTTATCCGCGTTGTATATATACAATGGAAACACATGAAAACCATTTATTCTTTTACCCCACACCGCCCCCACCAAAAAAGTTGACTTACCTGAGGTGTCCCACAAACTGAGCTCAATCCTTTTCTTGTCGATTTCAAAACTCGCAGTATAATTTTCAAATACTGTCTGCACGTAGTTCTAGAAAACAGAAGCAGGTTAAGCAACCAGTTACACACAGCCATGACCAAGTTAAATCAGACTCGAAATAAAATAGCTAATACTTCTAGATCTTTTAGACAAAACAATCCAAAGACACAAATCCATCCCATTATCAGACAGGAGTGAGAATGTCACAACTTTGTCCTTCTGACATTATTCCCAAAACAGCAACACGATTCAAAATAATCTTCCGACAATGTCAATCCCGTTCCCCGCATAGTAGTTTCATATAGTTTTATTTCCATATGTTTAAAGTGGAAAATCCTTGACCGTACCTCTGGGAAGCAGTCCTTCGCAAAGACGTGAAGTAATGCCGTTTTTCCACACTGACTGTCTCCCACCACCACTATTTTGCATTTGGCACTCTGATTGGGATCCATCCTGGATTTCAGTGATTTCTGGCTAGATCTTCTCTCCTTCATTGATTTTTGCTATGGTATAGTCCTTGAAAGCACCGACCTCAGTGACAACACACGCATACAGGCAATGCGCAACCAAATTCCAGGAAAGCAAGAAGCCGAGGTATCCTCTCTCACAAAGCCCTCCTCCTCAACGTCCCAGTACTGCGCTACCCCGGCCAAGTGCTCGCAGGTTTTTATACGAGCCTGGAAACCAATCGCCTTCCCTCACAAGGGAGGAAGCGGCGCGGTACTCCCCTTTTTACGGAAACAAAAGACGGAGAGCGCTTCGTCTGCAAGCGCAGAGCCCTCTGTCGGCTTTTTATTATAGGCGCACAGCTGTTTCGTTCCACGATTGTCCAGCCTTGATAAATAATACATTTTTAGCGGCGACCTTGCGACGCGCCTATGTGGAATACGCATCAAGTTTCGAAACAGATTACAACCTTAATCACGGCACAATGCGCGGGATCCGCACGTTAAATGAGGTTTAATTATCCGAATGCGATCTATGAATAAACACAGCACCCACATTTGTGACACCTGCTTGAATAGGGCCGGCACAAAGCAGGGACGATGGCCCGGCAACTCCGGCTTGATTTAAGCTGACACCCACGGAAACACGCGAGGGTTACGGGCATCACGGACCGTAATAAAGGCTGCCTGCGCTTTGTCGCTCTGCATCTGCCTTTGAACCGACGGCCCAAACCTCGCTTTTGTGTTAAGGCCAAAACTCCCCCATGGGTGAAGGACAATGGGATGAATTCAATTAAATTCTGAATTATGAGACAAGAGACTTTTTTACGGGTGGGTTATATTAGGAATTTGGATACAGAAATAATACGGAGGAATTGCCTGGCTAAAATTAAACAGTTAAGCGGATGGTGAAAGTTGGAGCTCGCGGAGAAAACCTGCCTGACCTAAAATAAGTTATGTATATTTATTCGGCAGCCATCTGACTTCGTTAATTGTCATACATTATTTTCCTGCACAATACAGACTAAATATTTAGGTCAACGTGTTGCATTTACACAAGTAGAACATATCGTTACATAGTTGGATTAATATTTATGTAGGCTAGTTAAATAGGTATAAGTGATATGTAACATCGGTTATTGTATGGTTGCAGCTTTAACATTAACACCAACATACTGCAGTGCTCTGGCCAAGGCCGTATAGCCAGGGAGTCAACATTGGGGGGATCAATTAAGGTCGTAATTATAATATGCCTATATATTGGGAGGGAGGGGACATTGTGAGCACAGCTGAATTTTGGGGGGACGTGTCCCCCCAGTATATAATTAGGGTTTGGTTCTTAGGTTTTAACCAAATTTAACAACCCCCCCACCAAAAAAAAAAGAATACCCTTCCCCGGATGAAATACCGGCGTTCCCTTTTAAATGTATCCCAAGGTACAAATCTCGCCATAGCAAACAAAACTGGCAGCTGATTCTCGCGCAGCGTGACTCACTGCACACCCATGTGCTTGCCTGTATAACGGAGCTTACGAGACATTTTTAACCATGTCAGCTATGCCGGTGCGTATTCCCCAGAAGGTGCGTGTTTCCCCGTAAAGTTTATCTCCCTTAATAATATAATCATAACACAATACAGGTAATATAAAATTTGAATTAACCGAATAAATTTTAAAAGGCTTAAGAACTAGTGAGGATAGAGAAGCACGTTAATTGTTGCTAGACAGACTGGCAGAAAACAAGACGAAAAAATTTGTTAGCAATTCAGAAGTGTATTGTTCATGATTAATTCTTCGGCTGATTCCCACTGGCTGTTTTATTTATAGTTCCCCATCAGATCGCTCCTCGGTGATGCTTTTCAAATCAATAAAATAAATAAATAAAGCGCCTTCATCGCAGTGACGCAGACACGCAGGCGCGGCTCAATCATCTGGAAGCAACATGTGACAGACTCCCTCAAACGCAGCTCAAGCCAAATAAACCGGCGCCAATGGTATGCGGCACGCCAGCTGCCTGGCATTTACAAACACACTTAACCAAGCCCGGCAGAGCCGATTTTATACTATGATATTGCGTGGGCAGAACTCTTAAGAGCCAGAGATAGTCAACATTGCGCTGTGGGTGGAGGGTAATGGGTATGTGATCACACAGGGCACGAGGACATGCATTATAACTGCTAGGTAATCTCTGAGACACCCCTCCATGGCTAGATGATATTTTAGAATATAATATCAAAGTACACTTGATAAACATTTATAAAATGATTATGAATAGTCAGTCTGATTATTTTATTAGTACTTATTTATCATACGTTCAAGTGGTACCGTTTTTTTCAGGATCTGTGCAAGTTGTTTTAACACAGAGATTCTGAAAACATACTCATAAATATAGCTCTTAACACGCTGTTTACAAACAAAAATGCCACAGCAGAGATATATTTGTGACTAATATTGAAGGAGGCACGAATTGAATGCACTACAGTGTCAGCACTCTAACGACAGTAAACAACTGAGGTCAGAAGTATTTTGCCCAAGATACTCATGTCCTGAATCATGTTCTGCTCCACCAAAACCTAAAACGGGGCGATGTGAACATACTGGTTCCATGTGGTTCATGCCCCTCACTTCCTGTGATGGAAATGACATAAACGTGCACGGATCCCATCACCATCTATATAAAATGAGATGGAACTGCCTCTCTACCTGGTGGGGGTGGGGGGGGTAATTTTCACCCATTATAATCAAGCAGCAGGGGACGTCCCACTACGCTCACACCCTGTCATGTCTGCTTAGCACCATCCTGACAGTCGCACTCGCCAAAAACCGGCTCACCTCCGCCACCCTTTATTTCCACACCTTTGCCTTGCACCGTAGGGGGGGAGCTTAAAGTGTAATAGCAGCTTAATTGTCTCCATCTCAGGGCGGTCCGTTCCGTCTGCTCCATGGGGAAACTCAGGATTCCTGACGGGGTTGTCATAACGATTAAAGGCAGATTGGTGATTCAGCGCACCAGCGAGCGTCCAGCCTGGAGACTCCACTCGAATGGCATCACGGGCGAGAGAGAGCGAGAGAGAGAGGCTGGGGCAGAACAGTAAGGAGGAACTTAAATATGAGATCCTGCCACCCCCTGGGATGGACGGGGTGGGGGGTCTGTTAGGCAGACTGTATGTGGCTAATTAAGCCAAATAAGCCAGCCTCATAGGGGTTTGGCCTTAAAACATTTTATTTATTTAGTTGGGGTTAAGGGCCCTGCTCAGGGACCCAGTAGTGAAATCACTCCGCCCAATCTGGGATTTGAACTAGCGACCTTTTGATCCCAGGCACAGCATCCTGATCCACTGAGTTGCACATCACCCTCAAGGAAAAGCTGAACTCAGACTGGTGAAGGAGGAGATGTGGATGGAGACTGAAACCCAATCATGACATTCTGAGCACCCTGACTCCATTCTCTAGGCAGGCATGAGGAGCGCATGCAGAGCCAAGGGCTTCGCCTCAGTTTCAGGCTCTCCACCAATCCTGGGCGGGACGTCAGCACGAGGAATACCGCAGACATTAATCACGCGCTCGCCTAACGGCCGGTCGGGAATTCTGCCAGCCCGTCACGCAGCCCCTCCGATGCATTTGGCACTGTACGGCTGAATGACGCGGACCTGGATGGCCGGGAATTTCCTGGTGTCCTTCAGTATCTTATGTAATTCCGGAAAAAAACAGAACATTCGGGAAATGTTTCCTGGATTGACAGCTAATTTTGGTCTATCCGAAGAATGTGTACAGGGTGTAACAATGTGCTTTCAGATGTTCAGAATCTATTACATGCCTTTGCATTTGGACTTTGCATGAGTTATATCGAAAAAGATAAAAATGCAATTTCTCAGGCAAATGTGAAAACATATGTGTTTTTGTCATATCTGCCATCAGGTTCCAGTCTCTTCTCTGTCTATTCCTTGTCCAGTCTTTGACAAATTCTGTCAAGGATCTCAAGAACAGGGAGTGACAAGCAGTCAGAAAACCACTTTAGCATGGCCTGAGAGGAGTCCCAATGTCCTCGTTAAATGTTTAGTGCCAGATCTAGTGGTGACTAGCTGGACCCAAACCCCATAAATCTATCCTTAGATGGACACTCTTACAGATAACCATATTGGAAAGCTCTTTAAAGAGTCACAGGGAAATTAAGGTTTTAACAGCTTCACTTAGAGTGTCAACTTCTGGCAAATGACTTATCATTTGTAAAGAAAAGTCGTGAGCGGTGACTGATGAAAAAAAGACTTCAAGAACAGGAGCAAATATTGACAGACAGTCTGTCTTCACCAACCCTATTATGTCAACAAAGTGAAAGTGTCTCAACCCTTCATAATCCACACCTTCAGGTTTCTGGAATCTACAGACTGAGCTCAGCTTAGATAAGTTCAGACTTCTGCACAGTCAAGGTCTATCACTGCATCCTGCCTTTGCCTCTTTGCATGATTTCAGTGTGATGGTTCTGTTAGGTAGTCACAATACACTTTAAAAATATTTGGTAACACTTCACATTAACTGCACCTTCATAATGCTTTTATATTGCATTCATAAAACATTCAGTACACCTTCATAATGTGTTCATTAAGAATTCATAAAACATTCATAAACATCATGTATGTATACCCTAACATCCTTAACAGCTGTAATATACATTAATAAGAAACATTATATAATAATAACATAACAAACATCATAATTGTATAATCAATAATAATGTTTGTTATTAATGTATATTAAAGCTGTTAAGGGATGTTAGGATGTTAAGGATGTTAGGATGCTGCTTATGAATGTTCTATGAATACATTATGAAACTGCACTGAATGTTCTATGAATACATAATGAATGCATTATGAAGGTGCACTTGATATAAAACGTTACCAAATATTTAAGCTTTTTAACTGAATACCAAATAATGAATGTTTCTAAATGTATTGAACTAACTCTGGCAGCAGGATCTGTTCCTATTTATCTGTTTGCTTGCTTTACTTTGACATTGCTTTACTTTAGATAAACTCTCCGGTAAAGGAACATGTCTCTGTCCTCATATGACAAGCGTGACAGGTGTATGACCGATACAAAAAACCTGTTTCAAATGTAACTCGGGTAATTCTGTATATTGCATTTCTGGCCAGAGGTGGAGATTTCAGGTCCAGAGAGTACAAATCCAGACCAAGATTTTGTTTCAACCAACCAGTTGAGTATAAAGAGTCGCAGTCACAGAGTATTCAACTGATTGGTTGAAACAAAATCTTGGTCTGAATTTGTACCCTCTGGACCTCTGTTTGTGAAAGATTTCACATTGGGCTGTCACTAAATGGATAAACATCCCGTCACTCACTGACTGTATAAATACAGACTCCATGACACATGACGCCTGTCCCTTTAATGATAGCATCCATTGATAACCTTTTTCCCATCTGCTAACTTGCAGCAAGATTGAGGGGGTGGGGTCACTTTTTGTTTAATTTGAATGTATTTTTTTTCAGCATCAGAGTGCCATTTTGGCTAATTAACTAGAACACCCCACATAAGAACACATGCACTGAGGTGACTTAAGGCTGTTGAAGGTAGTTACCACTGCTGAAGAGACAGACATTACAGGCAAACAACCATCGTTGTCTTAATAGTGCTAAAGATTAACAGATTAGCAGTCTGTCACTGCTTTTAATTGAGTTATTGTAGCGGTACAATCTACAACGACGTAGATGCAACCTGGGTGGGGGTGAGGAAAATTTTTGACAAAAGTACCCCATGGAAGGATTTAAACCCTGAGGTGTTTTACAGTGTGTCATTCAGCCTTTTCCCGAAACACCTCCGCCTCAGGACTCCTGTTTGGAATTCCACTCAACAGCTTTCATAACTATTAATTTATCAACCAGCTGCACTGGTCACTTTCTGCATCACATGCAGAATAACACATCACAATGGAATAATTGCCTTACATTGTACTCCATATATTCACTGTTTCATTTACGAATCGTACCCACAGCATAGCCCTACTTTAAAATTCTACTGCATATTTATTTATTCATTGTTGTCTATGTATGTCTATGTATGTCTGACATCATATTCTGTGTAAAGTTTTTAAAGGTTTGGAGAAATGCTATTTCAATTCACTGTATGCCTGCATATTGTCAAATGACAGTTAGGGTTACATTATCGGTATTACCTACTGCGCTAAATATTAAAATATTAAATTGTGAATGATTAAATGTTCATGGAGAGATTGTTAGGGTCGTGCTACATGCATATTCTATCAGTTGCATTTTTATGGCTCAAACATGCATCTAAAGTTGTTATGTTAGTCAAATTCATTCAACACACCAATAAACCAATGATATCAATAAATAGGT